GATATTTTGTAAAAATATATATATTTTTTTTCGAAAATACAGAGTTCAAATAGTAAAAATTAAGTTTAGTGTCAAAATAAACAAACCATAACTTATAGTAGTATAATGAAATATATATACTCCCTCCGTCCCACTTAATTTGTTAACTATTTATATTTTCGTTCGTCCCACATCATTTGTTATTTTTTTTTAAATACAATTTTAGATTTTAATCACAATTTTAAAATTAATAATTTATAAAAAAATTTTTATTTTAATTAAACTATTTAGTAATCGTAATCGTAATCTAAAATTATTTTTATTAAATTATAATTATTTTTACTAATACACTTTTTAATTACTCACTAATTACACGATACTTAAAAGCTCCGTGTCTAATTAAAAAGTTTCTACTCCCTCCGTCCCACATAATTTGTCTTTATTTTCTATTTTCGTCTGTCCCACATAACTTGTCCTTTCTATTTTTTGAAATATAATTATACACTTTAATCGCATTTTAAATTTTAAATTTTATAATTTTTAAAATTTTAATTAAATTATTTACTTATTTTAATCTTAATCTATAATTATTTTTACTAAATAATAGTTATTTTTACTAATACACTTTTTAATTATTTGCTAATTATATTTTATCTAAATTTAGGTGTCTACAGTAATACACTCATATTACATGGAACCGAAGGAGTATTATAGGATGGATGAATTGGACAAATAATGACAGGCTTGACTTTGTACATTCTTTTTTTGTTTTTTTTTTCCTTAATAGTTAAGAATAGCTCAAAAATAATAAACGCTGTCTTATTTATTGATTGATATTTTGTCCTATATGCTAATATAAGGTTGTTTTTATAAATTGATTTATTTATTTTTTTTAATATGATATAAATAATTGGTATAAATTTCAAGTGAAATATTAATTATTTGTATACTTTTTTCGCCCCCTCTTTATCCGATTTACTATTTTTGATCGTCTAAATAGTCTTTAAATTTTTATTTTTTTAAATAAAAAATATTATCATTATACTCCATGCAGAAAAAAAAAAAAAAAAGACTTTGAGAACAGACAAAAATAAAATATAAAATAAAAAAATATATATATTTAATTTTATAATTAAAAAATAGTATAAATTTGAAATTTAGAGACAAAAAATAACAAAGTAATTGTTTAACTTGAATTTCAAATTAATTTTTTTATTATACAATTAATCCATTTAATTTTTAATAGAAATGTATTTTTATTCTTCAGAAAATATTATTTAAATAAAAATTAAAATACCAACACGTACCAACAAACTCAAAGGTCGTATAATACAATTATGAATAAATTGAAAACTTAAACTTTGAAGCTCTACTGTCCGCATCATTAATTCTTTTGAAAACGATATATATATATATATATTTTTTTTCATAGTTATTTTTTGATTATATAATTTTAAAATTTAATATTATTTATTATTAATAATTTACTTTAAAAATATCATACTATTATTGTTTTAAAAAAAATTATATCAAATATTTATTTTATTTTATTTTTAAATTCAAAATTCTTGTTTAAACAGAGCTTAATATTCAATAAATTATCATGTTTTGAAAAATTGCATATAAGAATAGGCTAAAAAATAAGCATAATTTATCTTTGAGTTAATTGTTTAATGCTTTCTTTATATAAACTTAAATATCACTTTCAATAATATTTATCGATAATAATATTTTTTAAAATATATTATATTAAATATTTATAATTCTTATAAAATACTCCATTTGTTTCGGATAATATATCTGCATTATTGTAAATATAAAAATTTAAATAAAATATAATTAGTAAATAATTAAAAAGTATAGTAGTAAAAATAATTATATATTAAAATTAAAATAATTAAATAATTTAATTAAAATTAAATAAATTATAAATTATTAAATTTAAAATGTGATTAGAGTGTATAATTATATTTTCTAAAAAAATAAAATAAATTGCATGAGACATACAAAAAAAAAAGAAAAAAAAAAGAACATTTTATGTGAAATAAAAAAACTACTTCCGTCCCAAAAGAATTAAGAAATAATAGTATTTAATTGAAAGTGTGTATAAAGTAGAATATAAATGACTAAAATGCCCTTGTTTTTTGAAGAATTTTAAAGAGTATATTAGAGTAATAATTAGGGGTAGTATGGAAAAGTATGAATAATTTTGTTATAAAGTAGGGACACGGCTACTAAATAAGGAAACAAGACAATTATTTTGGGACGGACGAAAATGGAAAAATACGACAAATCTTTTGGGCTCCCTCCGTCCCATAACAAGATATCCATTTACCTTTTGCGTCATTGTACTTAATGTTAAAAATATATTTATATTTGTATAATTTTTTTATACAAATGTCATTATATTAGTATTATAAGACACTATTTTTGCAATTTTTCCTTGATTTGTAATACGTTTTAATATACTCCCTCCGTCCCACATACCGTGTCTGGCTATACTATAGACACGGTATTTTAGGAGGAGTGTAATTAGTATATAATTAAGATTTAATTAGTGAAAATAATTATCCTATAAAATAAATAATTATAAATTAAGATTGTATTAGTGAAAATAATTATCCTATAAAATAAATAATTATAAATTAAGATTAAAATAACTAATTAGTTTAATTAAAAATTTTTTAAAAAAATTAAAAAATTTAAAATTAGATTAAAGTGTGTAATCATTTTTTAAAAAAAAGTGACATGGTATGTGGGACGGACAGAGACGGCAACGTGGACATGGTATGTGGGACGGAGGGAGTAACAATTAATATCCAAATATTAACAAGTAAAAGGTAAATGGATACATAGTTATAGGACGGAGGAAATATTAAAGATTAAGATGCCATAATCATCTTATCAACATTATTAAATTAAAAATTAATTTAGCTTTTTAGTTTTTTTAATAATATTTATAATAAACTGTGCCAATGAAAAACATAATTTTTTTTAAAAAATAAAAATGCCATAATATCAAAATAGAAATGTGAAAACAAGAAATAGTCTGGGTTTATTTGTTTTGTATTTTTGTTTGAATTTTTTTATTTTTTATTTTTACGTAATATACAAAGAATTGTATAAATAATATGAAAATAATAAATACATGTAATAATATTATTTTTTTGAAAAATGTGTTATGTATTTTTGATAGGGGTGTCAATTCGTGTTTTTGGATCGTGTTCGTGTTGGGTTGAGCCATGGGGTAACAAAAAAACTGTCAACTCGAACCCGAAATCTGACCTGAAACCCTAAACCCGAACACGACACGAATTCTTTCATGTCGGGTTCAGGTTGACCTGAATTAGTTTCAAGTCACCCAAAATCCGAACAAACCCGATACGAATCCGACATGAAACATACTCGAAAATTTAAAAAAAATTAAATTGACCTAAAAAATATTATTTTTATTTTAATTTTTATATTTTTTTATATTTAAAATAATATAAATATTATAAATTAAAATAATAATAATAAACATTTAAGGTCAATCTGAAACACGAAATCCAAAACCTAACCTGATTTTGATATTTCAGGTTATCAGGTCAACCCGAAACACGACCTGAACACGACACAAATTTTTTTCTTTTCAGGTTCGGTTCGACCCAATTTTTTTCAAACCCGAAATACCTAAACCCGAACCTGAAAAATTTCAGGTCGAACAGATTTGATTTTTCAGGTCGGATTTATTTTTGACACCCCTAATTTTTGACAAAAAAAAAAAAAAATACACTCTCTCAATAATTAATTTATAATAATAATAAATATATATTTATATATAACCAACAATAATTGCTCCTCATTTATTACACCGAAACATTTGTTTGGATGTTTTTGTTATTTGAAAGTTTGAATTGAAAATTTTGTTAAATTAAAATTTTAATTTAATTCAATATTAATATGTTTTTAAATACAAAAAATAAAAAAAATAATATAAACAAATAAACCATTATAAGGTAGCTTTCCATTGTGGTCCTATCGACATTGAAATTTAATATAAATAAAAATTAAAAATGATAACAATAATTATTTTTATTTATAGATGATTGTTTTTGTTTTAATCTAATTTTCACATTATACAATTTATAATAAATATTCAAATAAACTTTATATAAATTTTACCATATTAAACATAATAATATGGTAATTTAAAAATTTATCTGATATATTGTGAAATTTGCTCATTAGAATTTAAAAATTTATCTGATATATTGTGAAATTTGCTCATTAGACTATGAGTGTTTATCTTTCTTTAAATCTATAGCATATAATTACAAATAGCATAACATAAATTAATAAATAAAGATTACATAGCACATTATTTTATATTATCTTTGTCCGACTTTAAGGATTATATCTATTTTTTGTGCGTATTAATATTTGAATATTAATTACTATATAAAAAAAATACTTATATCAGTGTCTTATAATAGATGTTTATACAAAAAAAAATTATACAAATATAGCAAAATTCAAACAAACAGCACCCTACCGATGCCTGTATAAATATATATTGTATATATTTTTAATTATATTGTTAGAATTTTATTTTATTTTTTTTATTGGATAAACATGTTCAAACTTTTTATTCATTTTTAAAATTTTAATTTTAATCTAAATTTTATTAATATATATTGAAAAACAATCAAGATACAAAAAGACAATATTAAAAATGCCATAAAAACGCAAACAAACATGATAACCGAAACCTGAGTGGGGAATCAATGCACATAATACATACCTTTATTAAAGACAGCAAAAAATGAATAAAAATCATATTTTGGATCCAAACAGGACCTTATCGTCCTGCATTGTTGTTTTTAATCTCTGCGGTTGATATGTTCAGCGTCACAGATAAGTTATAGTACTAAAAATTCTTCCCGCTGGACCTCAGGTCCCGTCCCCGTTCCGACTCAGGTCAAGTCCAGCAGTATATAAACGGAGCTCCAGCCTCCAGGTACTGTCTTCGTCCTCAGCAGTGGTTTCTTCCACTGCGTTTCTGTTGCTTCAAGGAACTGTAACGAATTTCAGTGATCTTCCTTTCAGCTTCTGCTTTCCAAGTGAATGGGAAATTCTCCATCGTGTCATTCCTCAGAGATGCTAGAGAAATTGTTCTCGAAGGTGTGCGGTAAGGTTCGGGACAAGCCGGGGATCGACGGCGGCGACGGTGGCGAGAGGAAGATTGAAGGAACTGTGGTGTTGTTGAAGAAAAATGTGATGGATGTAACCGACGTTGGCGCTTCGATTCTCGATCGATTTCATGAGCTGTTTGGAAAAGGCGTTTCGTTGCAGCTCATCAGTGCTGTTCACGGCGATCCTGGTAAGTTATTTTTTTTTTTTGCAAAATAGTTGTATATAGTTTTTATCAGCAAGTCGTAATCGAGTGGAAGGAGTAAAGAGGATTAGCCATGGCGGATTCTAGGGCAGAATTGGGGAAAATAGTATTGCGTTCTGAAAGTACAAATTGAAAGTAAATAAATCAACAAATTAGCATGTTCTATCTGGCTTAGACTTTATTGGTTTTTGTTGTTGGTGATAAAGTATATTTTAGTATTCTCTACCCAAACTGTTAGTTGAATCTCAATATTATTATAATATTACACTGTGTTGGCGTTGTTTTCTAGATGTTTGTTCTGCTTTGGAATCGTTAATGGCGTCCGTGGTCACCATTCCTTTCGCTTTATGTGTTGTTGTTTGAAACTTCCATTTACAGTTAGAGAGAACAGAGGGAAGCTTGGGAAGAAAGCTTACCTAGAAAATTGGGTGACAAAGTTCACATCACTGAACGCTAAAGACGAAGCCAAATTCAACGTTTCATTTCAATGGGAAGAATCTCAGGGAGTTCCCGGCGCATTCCTAATTCACAATCATCACCACAGTGAGTTTTACCTAAAATCAGTGACGTTAAACAACGTTCCAGGACATGGTGAGCTCCACTTCGTCTGCAATTCCTGGGTTTATCCTGCGCATCGATATGATCACGATCGTATCTTCTTCACAAACAAGGTATCAATTCTGTTTTTCAACATTTGGAATCATGAATGAGTTTGAAACAGGGGGGGTATTGTTTTGATGTTTGTCAATTATGTTTAGGCATACCTTCCTTGTGATACGCCGCCGCCATTGCGCCATTACAGAGAAGAAGAGCTCAGAATTCTTCGTGGAAAAGGTAAGGGGAGGTTGAAGGAATGGGATAGAGTTTATGACTATGCTTTTTACAATGATTTGGGAAGTCCTGAAAAAGGGAAAGATCATGCTCGTCCTGTTCTTGGTGGATCGAAGGAGTTTCCATATCCTCGTAGAGGAAGAACAGGTCGTCCCCCGAACAAAAAAGGTATCGATGATTACGATTTGATTTGATTATGTGCTTTGATTATGTGTTTTGATCATTTGAGACGATGATATGAATTGCAGATCCAAATTGCGAAACTCGATTGTTCCTCCTGAGCTTAAACTTCTACGTCCCGAGAGATGATCGGTTCACTCAAATCAAGTTCTCGGATTTCATAGGCTACGCTTTGAAATCCCTCGGCCAAGTAATTCTCCCCGAGATCACAGCTTTATTCGACAAGACGATAAATGAATTCGACACATTTCAAGATGTTCTTAACCTCTATGAAGGCGGGATTCCGCTCCCCGATGGCCACACGTTGCGTAAGCTCAGGGAATGCGTGCCGTGGGAGTTGCTCCGGGAGCTCACTCGATCGGATGGCCAACGATTTCTTAAGTTCCCAATGCCCGATGTTATCAAACGTAAATTTTCAATCCTAATATATATATATATATATAATGTGTGTTTCATGACTTAAATGGATTGATATCGATCGATATTTTCATTGCAGATGATAGAACAGCTTGGAGAACTGACGAGGAATTTGCACGGGAAATGCTGGCTGGAGTGAACCCTGTTGTCATTCGACGCCTCCAGGTAAAGGGACTTTCGCCGTATCAAAATTAGATTCACCGCGAAACAATCTTTTCTTACATTGTTATATATACGACGCAGGAGTTTCCTCCGAGAAGCAAACTAAACCGTCGAGAATACGGCGACCAGGACAGTATTCTCAAGAGGGAGCATGTTGAAAAAAATATGAATGGTCTTAATGTCGAAGAGGTACGACACTTCTTGCAGTCCTAACTAGGAATGGATAAATTTACCGAAAATATCGAAATAGCGATTTACTGTACTGTATAAAAATATCGAAAAATTCTATATACCAAAATTTTTGGTATGGTATCATTACCGTACCGTAAAATTTGGTACGGTACCGTACCTTCTTCTTTCGTCAACTTCTTCGCGTCCTTCTATTGTATTATTCTTCTTCTTCTTCTATATAAGCGGTATATATCGGTATGGTACCGAAACATTCAATATACCGAATTGAAAATTTCGGTACACCAAAATATATCGAATGTTTCGGTATGGTACCGGTACATATTTCTACTATATCGGACTTTTCGGTTACGGTATACGGTATAGTTCAAAATTTTCGATTCCGTACGGTATGCCATGCCTAGTCCTAACAATGCTCGAAATTCAACCATCTATCGTTACCTTTCACCGAATCTTTTTATAGGCCTTGAAAGACAACAGGCTATACATATTAGATCATCACGACGACCTGATGCCGTACTTGCGAAGGATCAACACGACGACGACAAAGACTTACGCCACCCGAACTCTGCTTCTTCTCCAAAACGACGGGACTTTGAAGCCCCTCGCGATCGAATTGAGCTTACCGAATGGAAATCAAGACACGGAAGGAGCAGTTAGTGAAGTTTTTACGCCGTCCGAAGATGGAGTTCAAGGTTCGATATGGCAACTAGCGAAGGCTTATGCTGCAGTTAACGATTCGGGCTATCATCAGCTCATAAGCCACTGGTGTGGTTGCTGGTAGAATTTTCGTTTGTACGATGATTGTTTATCCATTTGCGGCTAATTGAAATTCAAATGCAGGTTGAACACACACGCCGTGATCGAACCATTCATAATCGCGACAAACAGACAATTGAGCTCGATCCACCCGATCTACAAGCTTCTCAAGCCTCATTTCCGCGACACAATCCACATAAACGCCTTGGCTCGACAGATCCTCATCAATGCCGGCGGTGTCCTCGAAAGAACCGTCTTCCCGGCAAGATACGCCATGGAAATGTCGTCCGCCATTTATAAAAGCTGGAACTTTGCCGACCAGGCGCTGCCGGAAGATCTCATTAAAAGGTTCGAACATACAAATTTTTCAAAAGGGAAACTGATTTGTTTGTCCAGACCCTGTTATTTTAGCCCTCCTGCTGGAGATGCTTACGTGGCGCCACCTGCGTGGCTCTCTGGAGGACACATACGACACTTGGCTTGGCATGTGAATTTTTAAATTTTTTTTTAAAAAAATTGAAAATAAAAAATCTAAATCCGCGTCTATGCGGAGTGTCACTGACCTGTCAGACACGCCCTACAGCAAGCCACGTGGGTGCCATATAGGCATCTTCGGTGTTAAAAGGATTAAAATTGCGAAAATTTCCCAATGACAAAGTGATCAGTTACGGGATTAAAAAATTAGTTTATCTGCTTCAAAATTTATCCGAGTAGTGACGATCCTTTCGCTTCACTGCAGGGGAGTAGCAGTCCGTGACGCAAGCCAGCCCCACGGTCTCCGTCTCCTGATTAAGGACTACCCCTTCGCCGTCGACGGACTCGAAATTTGGGACGCAATCTCCAGTTGGGTAAACGAATACTGCTCGATCTATTACAAAACCGACGAGACAATCCGGGAAGACACCGAGCTCCAATCGTGGTGGAAGGAGGTTCGCGAATCAGGCCACGGCGACCTCAAAGACGAGCCATGGTGGCCGAAAATGCAAACACTCGGCGACCTCACGCAAGTTTGTACAATAATCATATGGATCGCCTCGGCTCTCCATGCAGCTGTGAATTTTGGGCAGTATCCCTACGCGGGATATCTCCCGAACCGACCAACCGTTAGCCGGAGGTTCATGCCAACGCAGGGCACGCCCGAGTACGCCGAGCTGGAAAAAAATCCCGACGGGGTGTTCTTGAAAACCATAACAGCTCAGTTCCAGACGCTACTCGGAGTTTCGTTAATAGAAATACTTTCGATGCATTCGACGGATGAGATCTACCTTGGACAGACGGAGAGCCTCGACTGGACTGCTGATCATCAGCCTCGCGAAGCGTTTGGTCGATTCAGTGCGGCGTTGATCGAGATTGAACGAAGGATAGTCGATAGGAATAGAGACCGGCAATTGAAGAACCGGTCGGGGCCTGCTGAAGTCGAGTATATGTTGTTGTATCCGAACACGTCGGACGACAGCCGAGAAGGCGGGCTTACGGGGAAGGGAATTCCCAACAGCATCTCAATATGAGGTAACACACGAATACTCTGCAAATTAGGCTAACAAGACAAATTATACAATGCGAACTATGTGTGACAGATGGATCAGAAGGCATCAGGGTTTGAATCCATGATCTTACGGTCAAGAGTCTATTATTAGATCATCAGGTCATCCTTTATAGAATTATTCAGAAAGGTTCTTGATTTCTCTGTAAGTTGCTTTTGAGTTCTAATTCATGTCTACATTTTCGTCGAAATTCATGGAGAAATATTATTACTAGGTTTGGATCATTCTAATTGTCGTAAAAGCAGTGCCAACCCTGGCCCAGACCAAAGGGCCTCCCAGCTCAATCTAAATAGGGGCCTATTATTTATATATGTTTATTTATGTATTTTCAAATTTTAATTTTATTTTTTTATGCATTAAAAAGAATTAGATAAAATTAATATTAATAGTATTATTTATATTTTAGATATAAAAATGCTAGAAAAGTTCTTTATTTTAATAGTTTATTTTCTATTATAGGTAAAAAAAATGGAGAATATTGTTTATATATATTTAGCCGTTTTTTTATATTTATTTTTCTTTTTGCATTATATAGAAAATAAGTAGTAGACAAAATTATTATTATTATTAGGCAAAATTGCCAATAACTCCATTGCAGTTTTGAGGATCCGCATAAATTCTTTCAGTATTTTAAAAATTATACGATCTCTTATATTTTAAAAAATATTGTATGAAAGTTCTTTTTATATTTTTTTGGGTGATGAGATGATTTTTCATTTATATATATATATATTTTGCATAATAAGGATTTCATATAATAGTTGTTAAAATATTAAGGTACCACACAATTTTTAAAATACATAGAATGCTAAGTTTCAAAATCGCATGAAATTTATGGACAATTTTACCTTATTATTATTATTATTATTGATATTATTTACATAAAAAATATTAGAAAAAAATATTTTTTATTATTATTTATATTTTATTATAAGTAAAAAAATATTATATATATATATATATATATTTAAAGCTAAGCTTTAATTTTTATTTAGCCTTCGAACCCTTTGAAAGTAAGGACCGACTCTCCATAACAAATAAGGAGAAGCGATGCGAAGAGAATAGAATCCATCGCAGTTGCTGATGATCCTTTCATTGTGTCGCTCGAAGCACCGGATTACGCTCGAAGAAATTCTCCGGCCGGAGCTCGAACGACTTCGTCAGCGTTGGCATGATCGGGAAGTCTTCTTGGCTCGGTACGTGATGGAAACCGACGACGTGCCAGAGTACAATATCCTTGTTCTCGATGTCCCTATTCCTGCGAAGAATCGAAACCTAAAGTTATATATATATATATATATATCGTTTAAGTTATATCTCTTAAAAGGGGAACCGACCCTTGACCCTTATAAACTAAGGTAGTTCCCGCATCATATCCAATGTGGGACAATATTCAATAATTTCATCGACGTCGTACCTTTGGCTCCACGCGGCGAGGCTATCGTCGCCACGGCTCTGGTCGCCATACAACCCTCCCGCCCATTTTTCTCTTTTTCTATACGGCGTAGCCCACACGTCGTATTTGGTGAACGCCCCCCGGATTTGTGCATAATCGTCGTCAGACAATAGGGAAGTCGACGTCGATCCGGCGACTAACCGATACCCTACGAAGTTTCCTACACTAGTTCTCTTACACGGGTTCACAACGCTCACGTCGGTCACTCCCGTGCCGAGCCTAATTCTTGCGTCGGATTCGGTTTTAACCGCTTCCCGCCTCGCTCGCCAATAGCTTTTCCTCGGCGATGCATTGCCATCGACGCGAACTGTCTCTAGCTTCGTCTTGACGAGCGAATTTTTTTCGCCGTCGATGTCTAGATCGATGTGGAAAACTACAAAATGGTCGTGGTTCACGCCAATCGTGTTCTCGGCTAGTATCGTCCCGTAAACTTCCTCGTGTATTTGATCGTCGTGCGTGTAGACCGATCCCCGAACTTCGAGTAACCCTGTCATCCCGACCTGCCATCGATACAGTGACTAAATCAATATCCAATACAGACACCGTAGCTCAGATATCATATTAAGAAAGATATCAGATTTCAACTTAATATCAACTGATAAATTAGAAGAGTTTAAACATTACGGCGACTTTGATGACGCCGGTTTTCTTGAATTCCCAATCGACAATGTAGTCGTAATTCCCCACGGCCGTCGCCATTCTAACGACGAGGCTCACCTCCGGCCGAACCTCGGTAACTGTTCTCCCAGGGATTCCGAGCTCGGTATGGCGCCACATTACATCCCCCGCGTATCGTTCGAAGATGCACACGGCGTTCGGAGACCACCCGGGAGTTCCATCCTCCGTCGTGTAGTACCCGTCGATGTATCGAGCGTTGGCCGGGCAATCCTTTAACGGTACGAGCGGGACGGTGTAACGGCCGAAGCCGTACTCGGCGGAGTCGAAGAAGGTTCGGTAGTACCATTCCTCGGTCAAGTCCATGTAGGGCACGAAAAGCTCCGATATGTACCCTCTGTACATCACGCGCCGGCGCTCCGCCGTGCCGGAATCTTTGATCGACGCCAATGAGATGACCGAACCGGCCCTCATGTCGAAGGAGACATGGAACTCCCAATCTGCCCATCTGATGGATTTTCAATATTTAACTATTTTTCAAATTGGCATACAAAAAAAATCTTATACTACTTTTTTATTTTTGCGTTAAATCCTTTTATATTATTTTTTTGTATTTTGTGATAAAAAAATTAAAAAGAAATTATATGTTCAGAATAAATAATTCATGTTTAATTAAAATTAAAAAATTATAAGTTATAAAATATGATTAAACTTCTAAATCAAATACAAACTTTAGTTCTCAATGAAAAGAATGTCTTACCACTTCACCTACCACTTCACCTACTTAGATAATTTTAAATTAAATTGATATATCAATTCTGTCATATTATATTATATTGCATGATTAATTGATTTCTAATCTTATTTAAAGTGCATAATCTTTACGTAGTTTTTATTTTCTATAGTAATAAAAGAAAAAAAAATGATAAAAAAAATGTACTTATTTTTTCTAAAATAGATAAATAAAAAAATAAACATATTTTTTTACGACGGAGTATTACCTTAGTACATGTCCATCCAGTACGATTCCCGGCACGTCTAGCCGGGCCTCGGCCGAGCGATTCAAGCTCAACCCCGACCATTGGTCGGGAACCGATCCCCTATAGTCCGTGCCATCGGATTTAGGCACGGGAACTATTAACCGGTCTCGAAATCCGACAATCTCCATCATATCAAGATTGACGGTCACGGTGATCCCCTCGATCGGCCTCATGTAAAGATTGACCGTACCGTCCATGTAATAACACATGTTCCTAACGATCCTCGGGGTCGTCTTCTCGCCGTACCATCCGACGGTGAAGCTCATGCAAACTACTTCTTCAAACTTGAGTCCTCGTTTCGCGATCGAGGCCCTAAACGGCGGATACGACATCGACAAATTGACCGCCGCCGCTTGATCGGCCGGGGTCAAGGCCGGGTAGCCGGGTCCCTCATAACGATTATGCGATACGATCGAAAAAGTTGATAGGTCGGCAACGAGCTCGTGGGTCCCACCGTCGACGCGGACGATAGCGAATGCGCAGCGAGGTGGCCGGGACCGAGGTCCCGGACTTGATTGCCACGCGAGCACCTGGGACTTGTCTGGTTCTTCAAGGCCAACATAGTGAAAGACTACAACTTTGTTGTTGTGAGGATTGGAAAAGTAAGTCTTGACAATGGTTTGGACATTAGAGAGTTCTTGAGGAGATAGAGGATCTAAAGGATGGGAATCAACGGTCGAGATTGAAGGATCCGTAAAGAAGAAGATGATGAAGATGATGACGATGATCATAGTGTTGACCTTGTAAGGGAGAGGATTGTGGGATTTGTTTAAATACAAAGGATTCGTGTTTAAAAATTATTATTATTATTATTATTATTATATATATATATAGTATTCACTAAAGTTTAAAAGTTTTATATATTGTGTAATTAGTAAGTAATGAATAAATGTATTATTAAAAATAATTATAATTTAATAAAATAATTAAAAAATAAAATTAAAATGACTAAATAATTTAATTAAAATAAAAAATTATAACTTATGAGTTCTAAAATACGATTAAAATGAATAATTATAATTTTTTTTAAAAAAAATAAGGAAATAGACGATAGAAAAAGTTGACAAATTATAAAGGATCGATAGAAAAAGTTGACAAATTATAAAGGATTGAAGAAATATATTTTTAAATAAAAATAGTGAACCACGTATAATTAAATACTACTCTATTTATTGTCATTATAATTTGAAAGATATTTTTATTATATATATGAAAAATAAAATTCATACTAATTTATCTTTTTTTTCCATTTTTATTTTTAGTAAAATAAATTTAAATTAAATATTCACAACAAATATACCATAATAATATAAGTAACAAAATTATAATTAATACAATCAAAATATATAATTTGATAGTATATATACTTCCATGTTCATTTTAAAACTACATAATTAGTTTCATATTATATTATTTGAAGTATATTTTAATCTTTTTATTTATCTATCTATATAGAAAATTAACTCCATACCATTTTATTTTTTTTTTTATTATTGATTTTTTTTAATAAAATAAATTTATATTAAATTAAATATTTATAATTAATATACCATAATAATATACTTACTAAAATTATAATTAACAATGATCAATAAATATTTAAATATATAAAATTTGATAATATAGTAATATATATATACTGAATGTTTGTTTATTCATTTTTAAATTAAATAATTAATTTTATTTTATAATAAATAAATAATTTTAAGAGAAAATAATATGTTTTTAATTTTTTACATTATCTTTATCAATTTTTCTCTTTCATTGTCAATTTTTTATTCTAATTTATTTTTGGTACAATAATTTGAAATTTATTTTGTTCCATAATTAAATATGTTAATTCTCTTGATGATTGATTATTTTTCATTACTATTTAATTAAATATGGTAGTTCTTTTGATTAATGATTATTTTTTTTAGTACTATTTAAAATCAATTATATATCGTTTCTAAATTTTCATTTATACTCGTAATTAATGGATAATAAAATTTTACTATTTTTTTAATGTAATTATTTTCTAAATAAGGTCATACCCATAATTAAGGGTAATGAAATTTTATAATTTTGAAATGTATGAAATTTTTATTAATTCATAATTAATCGTGATTATATTCATAATTAATGAAATTAAAAGTAAAGTTGCTGTATTTAACTCAGCATATTTATTTTCTTATTTTTGATTTTTTTAGTGTTTTTTTTTTTAACTTCAATTTTTTTTTAAATTTTTATTCACTTAAAATTTGAATAATACTCCCTCCGTTCCATATACCGTGTCTGCAACACTGTAGGAGGAGTGTAATTAGTAAATAATTAAGAATATATTAGTGAAAATAATTATCCGATAATATAAATAATTATAAATTGAGATTAAGATAACTAATTAGTTTAATTAAAATTTAAAAAAAATAAAATTAAAAAGTTTAAAATGAGATTAAAGTGTGTAATCATTTTTCAAAAAAGAAAAGTGACATGGTATGTGGGACGGACAGAAACGGCAACTATGACATGGTACGTGGGACGGAGTGACTATTATTTTTAAATTTATTTATAGTATTTTATGAGTTTTATGAAATTTGAATTATAATTTTATTTTCTCTGTGACTCCATCCATGCTTACCACAATTAGTATGTTCATACTTTTATAAAATGTGTGCTGATATATTTATATTATCGATTTCTTCTTCATAGGCACGATCAAATAAATATATTGTATTATTTTCATTTGTTTTACATTAAATTATAAATATATTACTATTATTATTTTTTTATGCATAAATTTCAAATTGAACAATTTATCAAAATATTATTTACACACGCTATTTACTAATAAAAAATATATATATTTTTTGAATTCAATAGATTTTTTTTATATTATTTAATTATATAATTTTAAAATAAATTCGCATTGTTTAATGATATATATATTTTTTAGAATTTGCAGCTTCTAATTTTTTAAATACATATTAAACATTGTGTAGTAACTTCATACAAGTGGACCCACCACACCAGTGAAATTTTTTGTCAATATTCATTGGATTTTTTCACTTGTATTGATAATATAAAATATATTTTTTTTTGTTTAATCATAAATTATACTCCATCCGTCATATATATATTTATTTTTTACATTGAGTTTTAGAAATATTAATATTATATTGGAATAAAATAAAAATAAAAATAAAAAGATTAAATTAATCATATTAATATTGTATGATACAAAGATAAGACATTTGTGTAATATATTGTAAATTGGAACGATATTTGTAATGTTAGGTAGATAATACAATTATTAAAAAAAGAAATGAATACTTTATTATGGGACGATCAAAATGAAAAAAATGAATAGATTGTTAAGGGACGGAGGAAGTATATGTTTTATTTGAGCTGTCTAATTATAATAAATTATTTAAAATATATATCATTTTTTTTACAAATATCTATGTTTTATCATCGAATTATTACTTTTACATCAAAATAATAAGGATAAAATTATATTTACATTACTTTTAATTATTACCTATAATAAAAAAACACTATTATTTTTAAAGTTCGCGCTAAAAATAAATATTTATTTATTTTTAAATTAAACTTAAAAAAATACTCCCTCCGTGTGGCTATAAGAGTCTCATTTATTTTTTGTGTCATTGTACTTAATATTACAAATATTATTATATTTGTATAATTTTTTGCACAAATATCATTATAATAGTATTATAGATACTCTCTCCGTCTAAACAATAAATATACATTTATTTTTGGCGCGAAGTTTAAGAAATAATAGTATTTTAATTATTGTGGACAGATAAAAGTAATGTAATGACATTTTTGCCTTTGCTTTTTGGTATAAAAGTAACGATGCGATGTAAAGTAAAAATATTTGTGAAAAAAATAAAGTATTTAATAAAATTGTTACTTTGTAATTAAACGTCTCAAAATAAAAATATGTATATTTTATAATTGAACATATAGAATATTATTGCAATTTTCTTTTGACTTGCACTGTATTTTTATATAATAAATAATATTTAAATATCAATAATAAAAATACATATGACCTTTAATGCTAGACCACATAATAAAATTTCATATTTTATATCTCTATATATATATTATTATTTTATTTTTTCTATTTATTTATTTCAAAGGTTAATTGATGAGTTATGATATGGTCACATGGCCGGCAGGTGATTCTTTAATTGGTTGTATTATCAAAGTGGAGAATTTTTGGGATACTGCTCTTGTCTGGACATATTTGGCAATTGTTGATTTCTTAGTTAAATTGTATATCAATAAATTACTATTTTTATTCGTTCTACATAATTTTTTTTAATAAAAATAATTATAAATTTTAATTATATTTTAAAATTTATAATTTATACATCTCATATAATTTGAGCATATTAATATAGATACGGAAATTTAAATAAATTATAAATAATAAGTAATTAAAAAATGTATTAGTAAAAATAAATATTGATTAAGATTAATATAACATTTAATTAAAATTTTAAAAATTATAAAATTTAAAATTTAAAATGTAATTAAAAAAAGGGATAAATTATGTAAGACAAACAAAAATAAAAAATAGAGACAAATTATGTGGAAAAGAGGAAATAATTTTTCCTTATTTTAATTAGTGTTTTAATCTTAATTCATAATTATTTTTACCGCTATACTTTTTAATCACTTACTAATTAAATAATACATAAAATTCTTTGCTTCCACCTTAGGTAGACAAATTAGAGATAGATTATTTGTCTTGAGTTCAAATTTTTCATAATATTCATTAATTAAAAAAATACAAAATCAAAAGATATTTAATTAATAGTTATTTTTTATTAAAAATATTACGTATATTGCAAAATACGATATCAAATACTTCCTCTGTTCCAATACAATAGTCTTGTTTATTATTTTTATCTATCTTAAAACAATAGTCTCATTTCCATAAATAATTATATCGTTATAAAACTATTCTTATTTTTTTATTATTATTATACAATTGCCATTACTTTTTATATTAATACATTCCCAAGAATAAAAAAAAAAAATTTATCCGTATTTTTTATCCGCTATTAATATTTTTTAAATCCCGTGTCAAACACAACACGAACCATAGATATAGTTATGAGATGCTAAGGAGTATCACCTTGGAAAAACTGATTATCGGATTTAGACTTGCCCACTTGCAATTTCACAAATTGATAATTGAGTTGGTTTCGTATTAATTTATTGATTTCTTAAAGTAGAAAAGACGTATGATTGTCATTTTGTTCATATTTTTGTATTATTATATTAATGATACGCTAAGTAAAGGTTTGCAATTTTTAATATTAATTATCATAGTAAAATATAATACAAATTATAAAAAAATAAAAAAATATTTTTATTAGTGTATTATAATATTAATAAAATGATATTTGTAAAATAATATTTTTAACATCAAGTACAATGAAACAAAATGTAAATGTGACTATTAGAGGCAGACGGAGGGAATAAAAATTTAAAAAAATTTACTCCGTTACTTTTTGTTCGTTTTGATTTTAGATTTAATTTGAATAAATAATTTTAAATTTACATAATTATTTGATATGATATAAATAAAAAATAATACTCCCCATGTCCCATAAGAATGCAACTATTTTTTTCATTTTTGTCCGTCTCCAAATAAGGATATTATTTTTTTATTTAGTAATTGTACTAGTTACCTAACATACAATTTTTAATATATTACACAAATAAGCGTTACTTTTATATCACACAATCTAATAAGATATTTTTGTTCTTTTCACTATAAATCAATATAATAGTAATATTAAAAAATTTACGAACAAAAAATAAATATTATTTTTCTTTCGGGATGAAGGTAGAATGATATTTTTAAAATAGAAAATTAATTTTTAACGTAATGCAAATAATAAAAATAGACTCATAATTTAATTTTTGATTTTTTTAATAAATAATAAAATAAAATGAAATCACCCAATTGAACATACCGTATGTGGTAAAGTACGCCAATCAATACTTTTCAATCTTTCGAGTTGGCATTTATTACATACTTGAAGTCAGCATGTCTATAGTGTTAACATAAATATAATCACCACATAAATAAATGAATATTTTAAATATAAATTAAATTTTAATAATAATAAAATTACTATTATTATTACTCTATTCTTTCCAATCGCCCTTCAATAATTTTTCTTTCTTAAATTCATTATAATATTTTTAAATTTAAAAATAATTAATTATATTTATATATAAATATACAATTCACTTTATCTTATCATATTACTCAAACAAAAATAAAATAAATATACATTTCTCTCTCCAATTACATAATTTAATCTCAAAATATATCAAATTATTTTACTTAAATAATTTATTTAGTGATTATATCATATATATATATATATATAAATGTATTGGACACCGATGAAGTATTGTATATAGTGGCATAAATTACCTTGAAAATTGACATATATACATGAGGCGGCGTACTTAAATTAATTAATTAATTAATGAGATTTATGGTAGGCAACAATAAATTAGGGAAATTCAATTCAATTAATTGCTTCAAAATTATTCTCTCATCCATCATCATTTCATTTGATAAAAAACTAAAACCTATTTTAATTCAAAATTTAACTAGTTTCAGAAACCATCTAAACAACTAATTAAAAAGCCAAAAATTCGAGCACAAATTCAAAATATCTTCTTGAAACCTTAAGAAATTTCGACAAAGTATATTATCTATATTCAAAACATCACATTAATCAGTAGATTTTCACTCCAAAATAACTTAAATTAAAATCGAATAAAATGCCAAAAATACGACATAACACAACAATGCTCGATTTCGAAGTCCCGAGATGACTTTCTCACATAAGATTAACTAAGAGCATAGCCATAGGGTTTCAATGGAACAAATCCCATTTTACTGGTAGAAAAAATCGAGCTTCCATTGCTTCAATAGGTTCATCAATGAACCATCAAATATGCACGAAAATATCTATAACAGAATTAAATGGCTTGCATTCGAGCAATATATAGGTCATATAGTCGATACCCTTCAATTATGAAGTCAAAATTTTTTGTTCAACTTACCAAATATTGAGGCGAGCTGTTATTCGTCCGCCCTTTGTTGCATCGGGTGTTTCAACTATGTCTTTCCAAGAACTTCTCTATCACGACAGAAAATGCAGCAAAGCCGGCACAGCCAACACATGCTGCTTTTGGCCCTCCTGAAGAAGACAACCGTAGGACAATCAATGTAATCCAAAATCAGTAAGGCCCTGTTTGATTGGAAGAATTCAGATTTAAGGTATTACAAGTTACTACATCAAATTCATTCGACCCCATTTGGTTAGAGAAATTTGAATTGGAAGTAATTCAAATGACTACAAATTTTCCCCCAAAATCTACTATTCATCAAATTTCCCCCCCCCCCCTCCCAAACATAAAATCAAATACCTATTTTTCATTTTTATATAATACTAAAAATCAATTTTACTTTCAAAACATCACATTAACACCTATTTATATCACATCATACAACTATTTCAATTCAACATTTTTAATATTCAAATCCCAACTCAAAATCCAAACACCCAAACAAACACACCCTTATTCATTAGTTCCGTTTGCAATTTAATGGATTTCAAATATTCAATTTTGAAGTAATTCAAATCCATTCATTTAAAATAGACTCCAAAGTCCAAATTTATCCAACCAAACAGGGCCTCATTTGGATTGGCAATGCCGTAGATTTCAAATCTACAAAATTAGCCGTAGATTTCAATACACCAATTTTTCTTTAACATTGTATCATTTCAAATACTTACTATAACCAAATAATAGCATTATTATAGGCCCCGTTTGGTTGGAGGGATTTGGTTAAAAGGTATTTCAAATAACTCATCAAATTTAGTAGTTTCGACTAAATCTTCATTTAATATTCATCTAACCAAACAAGGCCATAAAGTATTTCAAATTCGAGGTAATTTAATTCCATTAATTTCCGCCTCAAATCCAAATCCATCCAATCAAACCCTAAGGGTGTAGAAAGCCTCATTCCAAAATAAGAATTTGTGATAATGGAACCTTGGAAGTAAAAACATTTATACAGTACCTCTAGCCGATATAGCACCTCCCGTCGTACATCCAGCAACAACTGTGTTTGTAATATCGTGTTTTGCCCGAGCCTTCAACACGATTCCAGCAAGAAAACTTTTACATCTAAATCATGTTTCTAAGGCGGCAAAATTACATTTTGTTATGACACCATAGGAGAATTGTGAGGCTTACCTTCTCGATGATGCATTCTGAAGCCGAGAAAACAAAGCCCATAACGGCAAAGGCTTTGCAAGAACTCCAGCTTCTTCGTCCCATCTGCTTCGCTTGGTAAACAATCTGTTGTCTTCCCGTCATCTCGTCTTGCATCATCGGATTATCCAATGCCCCGAGAAACAATCCCATCAATAGCCCCAAACCACCTCCTGTAAATTAACAAAGTTAGAATTACACTTCCAATTAACGAGAGAATGATTCGGTTGTGTTTGGTTTAGGGTTTCCCCAAATTCGCACCCCCCCAAATATCATCTACTTTTTATTATCTATATCATAGTAAAAATCAAACTTTATATTCAAAATATCACATCAACACTTATTTATATCATATCAAACAATTATTCAAATTCAAAAATTTTACTTTTCAAAATCTAAACAACCCCACACCCCCCCCCCCCAACCCAAAAAAAAAGAAAAAGAAAAAAAAGACAAACAGAAAGTTCTTTTATAGGGGTGGAAAAATACCCATAACTCCACTGACAACACTGCGCACTGCGCAATTATTCCAGATGTCCTGGCCGCGAATCTCCTCTATTGTGGGCAAGTGGATTTGATCAACCTGCTGCACCTGTCCATCTTGGGCACTTGAAGATGCACTCGGCAACTCACCTTCTGGATTCGAACTCATGAATGGCGTCTATCTAACAGTAACAAATTAGCACTATAATTAGAGCAGAAAAGCAATGCCGTGGCTAAATTTAATTCATTCTTGTACACCTCAACAAATATGCTTTGCAATCAATGAGTTGCAAGAGTTCCTAACATGTTTCATTTCCCCAAATTACTACTGTTCTTGCATATGAAATCTTTCGTTTTTCCCAAATTACTACACTTCTTGCATGTAAAGCCACAATTAAATTTGAGATGAAGCATTTCAGCCTCAAATTACATGAAGATCATGAATTTCCACAGTTCTTAGATCCAACAAATAAGCTTAGCAGTCGATTCGTTGCAAGAACTCCTAAAACCCCTAATATGCTTCAATTTTCCCAAATTATTACACCTTTTGCATATGAACTGACAATTAAGCCCTAAATTCCATGACAAATCATGAATTTTTACACTGATTGAAATCAGGAGTCCAATCTGACCTAAATCATGAATTTCAGTTTCCCCAAATTATTACACTCCTGCCTATGAAGTCACAATTAAGCCTCAAATTCCATGACGAAGCATGAACTTTTACACTGATTGAAATCAGGCCGAAAACAACAAAATAAAATCCAAAACCTCAATGCATGAATCCACTTCAGAAATCATCAAAAATCACAAACTACATTTCAGCATTTCTACTCACAGAAGATCATATAAATCTCAATTCCACCACAACAACAAGGCTACACTCACAGAATTAAATAATATCTACACAATTAAAGCATCTATAACTCACCCGCAATCTCCCACTGATAATTAAAACATGAAAAAATTGAAAGGAAGATCCGAAATTCAGAAGTGAAACCAAATCGACGGGCTAAAAGCGTACCTGGAAACTATTTGAATGCGGCGTGTTTACTTGTGCGATTTTCTCCTGATTTTACTGTAGATTTACTATTCAAAGCTCAATCTACAAATCCTACCCTCCTACCCTACTGGTAAGTCCTACTGCGCTGAAGTAAATTAATTTTCATATTATTTATTTATTTTTTTCGCCACTGAAAATATTTGGCCAAATAAGTCTGAAATGGCAGCGGAGGCGACGGCGACGGCGACCGCCGGCAGAAGAAGCTGAGGAAGGAAACAAAATAGAAAAAAGAAATGAGAAAAAAATTACAACATACTCGCTTTCAAAGATAAATGGAAGCTCGAGTAGAGGGACAATCAGAGGGAAATTCAAAAAAGAATGAAAAAAAAAAAAGAAGCAACACACCGTATATTCCAGCGGGCGGCGGCGGCGGACTTCGTCTTCGGGAGAAAGGCGAGGAAGAAGAAGAAAAACAGGAAAAGAAAGTGGGGGAGGCGGCGGCTTGATTTGGGGGTAGGGTTTGTGTATTTATGTAATTTAGTAAAGAGTAGAAATCATTTTTGAGCTTATTCAATATCAAAATTATCAGTTTTAGTTCCATTCAAAAAAATTATCAAATTTTAGTCCCACTGGGAATTTATCAATTGTCTCAAAATGGTTGACTGTGATTGAACACGGCCGTGTTGATTGGAACTAAGCCGTGTTGGATGACTCAGAAGGGTGACTGGACGTTCCAGACAACCAACACGGCCTTATTGGTCTCAACACGGCCGTGTTGATTACCACTGCACTTTTGAACACGGCAGTGTTCCTGCCCGTGTTTTCAACGTAGTCATGTTCTAGGCCATCTTCACGACCATGTTTTCAATATAATCATATTGTAGGTTATATTTATTATTTTTTTCACTTTTTGGTTAAAATTATTTGATATATATATTTATAATTTAACAAAAATATTTGTTACAATTATTTTATAATATAAAAAATAATCAATTTTTAATATTTTTAAAATATATAAAAATAATAATATTTTAAAATAATACTCCAATTAGTAAATAATTAAAAATATACTCATGCTGTGTTGAGAACATGGCCGGGAACATGGCTGTGTTCAGAACACGGATAGGAACACGGTCGTGTTCAAAAGTGCAGGGTAATCAACACGGCAATGTTGAGACCCTGGAACGCCCAATCACCTTCTGAGTCATCCAACATAGCCGTGTTCAAGCCAATACGGCCGTGTTCAGTCCCAGTCAACCATTTTTGGAACTAAAATTGATAAATTTTTATTTGAGTGAGATTAAAATTGATAATTCTTTTTGCATGGGACCAAAATTGATAAATTTACCAAAAATAATTTTTACTCTTTATTAAATATATATTTATAAATATAAAAATTTGTTTGTGTTGATATTTTTAAAGAAATAATTAAGGTGTGTTTGTTTTGGGGGATTATATTTAATTTTCAATATTCTTCTAATTTTTTTTCAAAAAAAACATCAAATCAAATACTTATTTTTCAGTTTTTATATTATATTAAAAATCAATTTTATATTCAAAACATCAGGTCAACATCTATTTATATCATATTATACAACTATTTAAATTCAAAATTTTTACTATTCAAATTCCAACTCAAAAACCAGACCGAATAAACACACCCATAGTTTGACAAAAATTGACAAAAATCTTTTAAACAAAAGGCATCATCCAATGCTTAAATTCGAAATAGATTCCAGCGCTAAAACCCTAAACCCTAATTCATATCAAATCAAATTGCCATTCCGATCAATCAATCCGAAAATTAGGGCAAAGTTGGGAGCCGTCTGATTTCTGCCCAGTTCAATTCGACGGCACAGGAGCTCAGTAATGGAGACCGTTGCTGCGCGTGGCTGCGGAAACGATGAGTTAGTGCCAATGAAGAAGAAAAGAAAGCTGAAAACTACAGATCATATCGATGAAGTGCAAGGACGTTCCAAAACGACTCGTGGAGACAGTGAGGACGGTTCTCCATGGAAGAACTTGGAGTTGATTTTGTCGCTGCAGGATGCGAGCACCAGCCTCATGGAGTATGTTTAGTTATTGTCATTATTCTGAAGTATCTGCATTTAATTCCAGCCGTATTATATGTATATATATATATTTCCATGTGTAATGAATTGTTGCTTTGAGTTGAATTATGGAACCATGGCTGTGGCAAAGTAAATAGATTTTGGCGACGATGAATGAGGAAAACAATTTTGAGTTCCTGTGAGGTGTACCCAATTTAGTTTCCTAAATTCCAAACAGCATGGTTATTCGATTGATACAAAGTGTTATTTATAACCTTTAATTACTTTATCCTAATAAAAATAAGACACTCATGTGAGGTCCCATTGAGTTTGCCATTGGTGGGCTGATATTACTGGTATTTGATTTAATCTTATCGCAGGAAGGTCGATTTGTCGTTCGATTATGTGCAATCAAGCAGTACGAAGGTCCCAGGTGATATTCGTGGCCAAGTACATGTAATGGATGCATCAAGGACAGTAGCATTCTTGAGCAATTGGGTTCAATCAGTTTTAATTCAATCTGAAAGGAAACTGAGGCTTGAAAATAAGCAACCTGATTTTGGAACCACTGGGTCGTTTTTGGATATTAGATGCTGGCGGGTATTGCTTTTCTGCCTGAAGGAGTCACAGAGAGCTCAGATGCCATTGGCGTGTTCTAAGGACTTTTTATGGGTGATACATTCGATTGAAATGGATGTGCTCTCTTGTTTCATCGACAAGTCATGCTGTGAGGGCTTGCTTTCAGGTGAGCGGATGCAGTTTTACGATGTCGTGCTTGATTGTCTCTTGCTTATCTTCTCATTCCACGGTGGAGTTGCTAATGAAAATTTAGAGATGTGGATTTTGGTCATTGATAAAGTGATTGAAATCATCTTGAAAGTTGTCTCGGGTAAGATTGAAGGCAGCATATTATGGAATTTCGTATTGCGTTTCGCTTGTTACTTATTTGAGCCATTTGCAAAGTTTTTGAGGGTCCATCCAATGCGTAAAATTGGTTTCTACACTTTCATCAGCAAACTTTTTCAGCCTTTACTACACTTGGTAAATCTTCTGCAAACTCATCCTTGCCACAGTGAAGGTGAATTGAAAACAAATGTATCTAAATTTGTTGATGAAGTTATATCTCATGGCCTGTTCCACTCTGTTCACATTGATGGTTTTCTCAGTCTTCAAAGTTCTAATCGATATAGAAATTCTTGTGATTCAAAAGTGAAGGAGGAAAGACCAGTGAATAAAAGTTATCATAGACACCTATTTGATCAAGTGGAGAAGATTGTAGCTTTGAAGAGCGAACCACCATTACTTGGCCTAGGAGAGTTGCTTCATTTATTTTCCAGCTGTGTTGTGAAGAAAAAGGCAGCTTCTGTTAGTGGAGTTTCGATGCACTTGGATGTTAAGTCAATTTTTCACGATTCTTCAAATCTTACTGCAGGAAGGACAGAAACATCAGAAAGTATGGATGCAGAATCGCGAAAATGTGTTTTTGATTTTTTTGTACACATTATGGAATCTTTATTATCAGATCTCAACAAGTGTCTACAACTCGATGTGGAAGTAGCATCTATATTATATGATGTTTCCATCACACTAAGATCCATCAATAGCTTACTTGCTATCTTTATTCGTGAAAAATTATACTTAAGAACAGAGGATACGACTGATGGTGCTTCCCAAAATTTCCTGAGGTTCATCTATACTAGTCTCATGAGGTTGTTCACCAAGATTACTCATCAGAAAGCATATGATATACAACACAGAGAACTCTTAAGTTGTGTTAGAAAGGAGCTTATAGTTAGTGTCCATCATTTATTAGATATTGAATATAATGTTGTTGAAGATGGTCTGGAGAGCTTATGGTCTCTTTCTCTCTCATCTTTACCCTACTGCTACGTCTCAAGTGATGTGCCAAATCAATCTTCACTCTTTGCAGAGATACTAAGCCTGGGATGCAGGTTGATTGATCTTTATAGTGATCTTCGGCAGGTTAGACTGTGCATATAAATATGTATATATATATATATCGTGTAAACTTTAAAGCTTTGGTTGCTTGTGATATTGGGTGAATTTAGGTGTATAATATTCTTGTTGCCCATAATGAAAAGGACTTTGTAATTCTCTTGGAAAAATATCCTTTTGAAACCTAAACTTCACTGTAATAGCCTTTTGCAATATTGCATCATAGATTAAGCTCAGACCAATTATATTTACTATTTTAGTTTCTACAAATATGGAAGATGTTATGATTACCAGTGGAAGGATAAGGACTACCGTTCCACCCTGGTGCCTCTTTAGACCAACATTTATCTTCCTATTTTATGTTAGTGATTTATGGGTTATATGACTTGCTCCTTTCCATTTATTTTGGTATGCTCTTTTGAACAACTGAAGTCTTGTCCTTTTGTTTTCTAAAGTTTTAAGTTCAATCATATTACACATTTCACATTGATGATGATGCCCCTCATTTATAGGGTATTATAATGTGTAGCATGGAAAATAAGAAAATTTTGAACTAATTTACACTTCCTGATTCTTTCTTTTTCATGATTTCTGTTTTCAACTTATCTATAGTCGATATTTCTATTCCACAAATCAGGTTACTGAACTTTTTTTACTGGACTATTGTAGGTGGATACTTCAATATTTGCATTTTGTAGAGCAGTGAGGTATTCTCTATCATTTGCTGGGCATCGTGAAGAATGTGCTCTGTCAAACACATGTTCATCATATCCAAATTCTTTGAGCATGCTAGTTTGCTCCTTAGAATTCCGGCGCTCTTTGAGCAATGCTGTCAAGGTGATACCAGAAGGGCAAGTGGCTAAATGTATTCAGCAATTGAGTTCTGATATTAAAAACTGTCTGGCATGGATAAAATTAGGACATGAGTTGGACGATGTAGATGAAAATGTAAAATCAGATCCACATTGTTGTGAGTCGCTGAAGTTTCATTTGCAAGCTGAAATCCTTGGAAAGGTGTTGTCTGATGCATATGCAATCATTCTAGAATCAGTAATTGTCACCAGTGGTAATAGTTATTTCATCAGTGATTCTTTGAAGGTATTGATAGAAATGACACGACCTTGTTTGAGTGGCTTGGTCTCATTACAGCCTGATGTTAGCAAAGGTTTATTCACCTTTATAGATGGAAGAACTTTAGGTAAGAGCAATGGATGTGACAATTTGTCCATGTGCTGGATTTTAAAGTTCTTATTCCATTTACTGCTGTCCTGCAGAAGCTTATCTCAGGAAGTAATCACTCATATGACTTCAGATACATCCAAAGACCTGTCTAAATTTATAGGTGGTCCATTTTTTACTCACTCCATGAAGTATTGTATGGACATGGCTGATTCTGATTATGAAGGGTTTTTTTCGCGGATCCTAGAGCCTTCGAGGACTCTTCTTCATGTTATAAAATCTGTTTCTAAAATTTGTATTCAGGATACAGTTGTACTTTGCCCACCCTTGTTGTATATTTTAACTTCCATGGCTGTTCAAAGACTTGTTGATCTGAATAAAGTGATGGCAGTTTCTGACTATGCACTAACATGGAACAACTCGATGAGTCAGAAGAAATTGAAAGATGATAGCTATGTGTCCTCGTATAGCAAGAAATCCATTTCAAAAAGGAAAAAAGAAGCTGTGAATCTTACAAAATTCGTCATGGGAAATATTTTAGTGATGGACAAGGAACAGAGATCCACTCTATCATTCAGTCAAACCAATGCCTTGAATTTTGCCATTGGATCCCTAGATGAAAAGTCACTGCTATCTGCTTTGTGGTACAAAATTTGCAAAAATGTTGATGTTTGGTGTGCTCATGCTGTCAAGAAAGACTTGAAGAGGTTTCTTACACTTCTGATCCAGACTTCCCTTCCATATACAAATGATAAAGATGGCTGCCTAAGAACATGTAACATTGTCAACCCTGGATATGAGAAGAAAGTCAATTTTCATCAGATTGACCTGGAGTTTGTGATCAACAGGGCAGAAAACGATGAAGTAAGTGAAAATTCACTGATTATGAATTATTCTCTAATGCTTGGTGCGATTTCTTTTCTTCCTTGCACATGCTCTCAACTTTATAGTGTCTTGTTGTTTCTGTAATATCCTCTACATTTCATGATGTAATGATATGCATAAAACTAAATTCCAATATTATGTAGGCAATGGTTCATAACTTGCAATTATACTATTTTATCCAAGAAGTAGAATAGAAGATTTGTTGAAATAATGAATTATAAGGACTAGAAGATTGAACTGACCATCTGAGCATATTGGCTGAAGTATAAAGCATTATGGAGTAGGATGCAATTTACATTTTAGTTATAAGGAGTAAGGACTATTATTGGAGCAATTCTTTAATCATGTTACTGCATTATACTCTCTATTATGCATGATGTAATGTTGTCTTTTACAAGGAAAAATTAACTTGAAAATGTACACAGGGATCTTAGGTCTGGGAATGGCACGATTTCCTTTGTTAACCACACGCCTTTTAATAACAATAGTGATGTTGAAAAAGATAAGAAGTTATTTTGGTAGGGATAGTATTAAGGAAATAGACGGTCAACGTGCAGAAATTCATAAGTTTCATGACATAGTGATATTTGAAGATAAGTACTTCTACATAGCATTAGCAATATACTTGTCTGGTCATGTCTGTGATTGCATCATCTATCAATGCTCCAAGCTGTTTAATTTTCATTTCTTTCATCTCTACCCTCTCCTCATGCCGCTGGTTTATTCTTTGTTGTTGAAATTTATTTCAGTCCATTTGGAGGTATATGTCCTCAAGGTTCTGCAGGATTCTGCGGAAGTCAGTTTCATCTCTATTTACAACTTGCGGCGAGGATTTGGGGAGGTCACCTGATTGGGTTGAGGTTATATCGACAGTTGAAAAATTATCTGATACACAAGCTTGGACCAAGCAGAAGATGGTGCCTACTGCTTTTTGCAATAAACAAAATGATGGGTTTGCTAGGTGTCGGTCATTGCTTGCTCTATTAATACAGATCCCAGAAATATATCTAGGTTCCAAATCTTCATCATATATCACCAACATTCTTAATCTTGAAAGGTAAAAGTTTCCGGTATATTCTTTTTTTCATTTACAAACTTATGATTATAAGGGCAAACAAACAAGAAAGAGCTGATTATTATGCACTGCGCACTAGCTCAAAGCTTCATTTTACTTTTGTCTAAATACTGTGGAGTTCTTCTTTCTATTTTTTTTTTGTCTTGTATACTGCATCTCTCTGAGTGAAGGGATAATCATTGAAATTTTCATCTCTCATTATCTGTTCACTGGTTTAAATTTACATGTGCTATTCAGGCTTCTAGTGGACAGCTTGTTATGCTGGCGTGACACACCATCATCTAACAACATCTGCCAGATTTTCCAATTGTTTACAATGTGTAGAAGAGTTCTCCAGATTTTAGCTGTAGCTTCTAGCAAAGAAAAGGGCTCTGGAAGTCTGAACAAACTCCCTGAAAGCTCATTTCCTCTACTGTGGCTTTTAAAATCATTATCTGCGGTGATTGAATTTCAGCGCACATTTCCAGAACATATTGGGGTTGAAATGAAAGACATGGCTATTTCGTTGTTGGACTCTACGTCTGATTTGTTGCTGACAGTATGTAAAGATCGTATTGAATGTGCGGTTGCATCTTCACTTTGCACTGGGATGCTTCATGGAGAAGAGGAAATCCTAACTCCCGTCAATGAAGAGCTTGAGCAATCTGAAAACTCTCTACGAGTGAATCCCGAAGAGAATTTAGATGCAATGGAAAGTGTCCTTCAGTTATGTAAGGCATTAGAAGAACACTTCAAAAAGCCCCTTACCATAATTGATGATGCTTGTCTTACCCAGAAAGTAGAAGCGATGGACACATATCAAGATTTTAGCACTTTATCAATGGCAATGTCTTGCTTCCATGGACTATTACAGGGCTTGGCTTCTATATTGGACGAGACAAATTCTCTTGACAGTAATTTCAGGACGAATTTTCCTAGTAACAATGTTGAGCTGATGACTAGAATCAATTCATGTGTGGATACATTTGTGAGTTCCATGACTTTTGTCCTGAAATTATTGTTTCTTGAAGATGGCATGGCCTTCAACATGCCAACATATGGTGATAATGCGTTTGGAGTAGTAATCCCGGATCTTGAAGCATTTTTTACTGATATTCAGCAGCAGGGGCTCTATCGAAAAAACATATTGTTATTGAAGATTATAAGTGGTGAAGATGCTGAGGTCGCCATCTTTCTCCAACAGCTGTTTATTGCTTTTTCAGCTATTTTGAGATTGAACCTGCAGATTAACCTTACTTCCAGTTTTTGGAGCATATTACCAGTTGTGATAGGCATTTCTCAATTTCTGCTGTTGGAATCTTCAAAAGCTGAGAAACTACACAAATTTGCAATTTGTTGTTTAGATGGTGTGGTGAAATTTCTCAAAGAGCTAGGCAATTATTTTTCACAGTTTGATCCTTCATTGTCCCGAGATTTTTTTGTACGGCTGATAGGCTTGCACTTGAGCGTTATTGGTAAATGCATATCCTTGCAAGGGAAGGAAGCAAAGTTGGCTTCTCAAGAGACCGGGTCACATGCGAAGAAGCTTTACAATCAGGCAACATCTTTTTCTTCTTTGGGATCAAGTCAATTGAGTGAGCTAAAGAAGCAATTGAGGACGTCATTCAGAGCGTACATTATGAAATCATCGAAGTTGCACTTGCTGTCTGCCATTCAGGCTGTGGAGAGAGCTCTAGCTGGGGTACAGGAAGGATTGATGGCAAATTATGAAATAGTTTTCGGAAGTCCAAATGGAGGAGAAGTCTCCTCTGTTGTTGCTGCTGGGATTGAGGGCTTGGATTTGATTCTTGAATCTGTAACAGGTAATTATCCTTTTATCTAACCTACTATGGCATTCTTAAAAATTGATTTGTGGATCATACTTTACAAAGCACTTGTGATCGATATCAAATATACTGTAGTATGACATACTATTTGTCTATGTTAAACACTTGGTGTCTTTTGTGGCATTTAGGGACAAAGCGTGTAAATACGATCAAAAGGCACATCCAGAGCCTAGTTGCTTGTCTTCACAACATCATCATTCATTTGCAAGGCCCTGATGTCTTCTTTGGATGTGTGGATTCTAACAAGGCTTATGCAAGAACGGATTCTGGGTCGGTTGTACACATGTGTATCGAAGTACTCACAAAATTTTCCAGCAAACCCTCTCTATTTCAAATAGAGGCCTGCCATGTCGTAGAGTCCCTGCGTGCACCAGGGGTGATGTTTCAACACTTTCTGCAGCTTCGGCTTCCTACAGCAAAAATTGATTTTAGCAGCATTTCTGTCGATAGAAAGTTTTCGGTGGAGATGTACGCTTCATGTTGCCGTATGTTGTGTACTGCTCTTAAAAATCACAAAAGGTATTTTACTTGAGGTCATCATTTTGTATTCCATTCTACTCTCTGTTTTTCACTCTCTGACATATATTTGTTTCTATTCAGTGAAACCCAACATTGCATAGCTATTTTGCAAGATTCAGTTGCGGTTCTCCTCCACTGTCTGGAGAATTCATCGGGAATTGAGTTTTTCTCATGGACAGTACAAGAGGCCGTAATATGCGCTCACAACCTTCGAAGAGTGTATGAAGAGGTATATGTTTTTACTTGTCTTGTATTTGTGTACTTCTTTAAATTCTTTTCGTCTTAATTAATGAAAGACCAAAGCTCTCTTTCAGGCTGGTCTTGCTTATGATGTTCGATAATTCTATTTCATTTGTTCTATTTCATTTGTTCTACGTTAAAATCATTACCCGTACTTCTCCCAGGTACGATCAGAGAAGGATGTCCTCGGACGATTTTCATTTCTGCTACTGTCTCGCTACATCTCTGTTTATTGCGGATTCGGCCCTGCTAGAACTGGCATCATCAGGTACATTCATAACTATATACTGTCCAGAAGATCAGTTAATTAGGTAGCAATAAGTACAAGGGTGAAATAATTTTGTTAACAAGATTTAAACTTTTTAAAAAATTTGTTACTGCTATTATTATATGATTCAGCACTCATGTAAAATTTTAGATTGCGGTGATTACTGAAGTTTGAAATTGTTTCCTCAAGCATATTTTTGCATTTAAAAAACTCCATATTTTTCAGGGAGGCCGACGATGCTCTGAGGCCTGGCCTGTATGCATTACTCGATTGCTGCTCAGCTGACGATCTTCAACTTCTTCATACACAACTTGGAGGTAACCATTTATGTGTCGACTAGTGAATCCACAAGCACATGCTCGATGACTATACACTTGAATTTTGTTATCCTATTTTGTCGACACCCTTTTTTTATTTTTTGCTGTTTCTTCTGCAGACGGTTCTTGTAGAACACTTCTTGCAGAGCTGCAACACGAATACAAGATTAAGTTCCGGTTTGAAGGGAAAATTTGATTTCACTGTCAATCATAAGAACCAAATAGAGGTAATCAAAGATAAAAAAAGAAAGGCAATGCAATGCAAGGTATGTGTTAGAAATCCACATAGAAATTTTACAATTTATCCTAAACTTTATAATTATATTATCCATTAAAGTAAAATTGCCAATGCAGAAAATGTATGCAAGAACCCTTTGTATGTGGTAGCCGGTAGCCGAAATGGATGGTGAGTTATTCTTTAAACAAAACCTTTTTTTATATGATCTTATGTCATTTGAAAAGGATGGATATGAATTTAATGTGTTAAAACATAGCCATTATAACCAACTACGTGTAGGGTCTTTTCCTTTTTTTTTTTTTTTTTTTTGGGTTGATTTTTGTTATTTTTTAGGTGATGTTTTATATATTTCGGATTGGTTCGCATTTTTAGCATACTAATCTGAAAACCTGAAGTATAAAATATTCAATTTGAACCAAATTTTAAATTTTGATTTAGTTTAGATCGAATTTTTATATTTCAAATATTTTGCTCACATGGACACGCATATGACTATGCGGAGCTCCTAGGCTTGATAGGCTGAGCCAGCAACTGCCGGCAGCAATGACTTATATTAATTTTATTAAATTTGAAGTTAACAATGTAACCAATATGTAATATTAATAATGACATTATTCTTTCATTTCACCCATTCATAGTTAATGTTCGGGAATACGTCTTGCACCAAAACTCATTCGAATACTTAAACAAAAGTCATTTTTGGAGCGTAGTTACATTACAGTTTTAGCACATTACTGTCAATCGAATGCATACAGAAATACAAAAAGTAAATGGGACAAGAGTTTGTTTATCCGGTTCTGATATAAATAATTCTACATCCGGAAATACTAATTTAGGAGAAGTTCACTAATCAAACAACTACAACTCCTTCAACCTATTTTCCTCTACAATAGTTATCTTAGAAAAATTCGGTTAAAGTTGTCACAAGTTCGTATTGACAACTATCAAACAACAGTGCTGCTCAAAATCTAGACGTTTCCTCGATCGGAACTCCGATTTTTCCTTCTTCCGGCGAACTCTCCGGCAAGTAATAGTGACAAACACTCACTCAATACACGGAGAAGAGAAGGGTTGTAATTGAAATGATTGAATACACTTTTCTCTCCCTATACACAACTCTAAAAAATCATTAGAGAACCAACTCTCTCCTCACGGTATACAATGTAGCAACCATGTAGACATGTAAAGCAAACAATTAAACCTCTTCCACATAAATGATATTGAGTGTCTGTGCATGAAATCTGAAACTAAATTGACCACCCAAAACAACCATTCCTTTTATCTTGTCTGTTCACCAACCAAGAGAGAAAAAGACAAGCAAGCAATGTTGCCGTCAGCCTGTTGCAGCAACCAGATAGAACACCTTATTGGAAATGAAAACGTGTGAACAACAACAACAAGAAAGAATGGAAGTATCAATATGCCAAAATAGATTAGGGGATTTCTTATTTCAACAGTTAATATAAATATTTTCTTTCATTTTACCTTATTCAGTCGAGGGAGATGATTTCAAATTGAAAGTGAGAGTGAGATTATAATTTCGTTGTTTCAAAAGATATGTATCGGCCTATCTTTTTTGTCGTTGGTATTATGCATTAATTTGTATATTAGTTTCTGCTTAATCAAAATGTTATTTATATTATGATCAATCTAGTTTTTTGGTTTTTCGGCGGTAATTCAAAAGATGTAAATTTATCTTTCGTCTTTATTCTGTAATTATTTTTCTGCATAGTTGTTGCGTGAACAAATTTGAATGTGTTTAGATATATTTTGCAAGTATTTTTGGAATGTTGGAATGTTTTGGAAATAATACAAAACTGAATGGAATAATATTGTGAAATCTCATGAAAAATATCCCAGAAGTGCATGAAATGGATTCCACTCTAAGGCATCCATCAACATGGTTGTATGGTTGGGCGGAAAAGGGCTGCATGACATGACATGGGATAACTCTATCTATCGAGTAAAGTTGAGCCTACTTAACACTTTATTCGTCGAGAACTAAATCGCGTTGTTTTCGGGACTAACTTTGAAATTTTTAGGATAATGTAGAAAATAAAAAATAAATGTTTGATTAATTTTTTTTTTTCAAAGAAAAAACTGATGAATAATAGAAAATTAGGGAAATCTTCGAAAAGAGTGCATCCTTAGAGTCTATTGGGTGCAGTAAGTGGCTGCAAATATTTCATTTCATTCATTGATCTTAGCATGTATTATGTAAATTAATTCGTTTATGGCGCCTGGTGACTTAGGACGGGCATTTTATTTATGGTGTCTAGATAGGCACTAATCGAGTGTGGAATGAAATTTATTTAATTTTTTTCGAACTTTTTAGTACACAATGTACAATCATGTCTTGACTTCTTTCGATATTTCAGGTGGCAACAACAATTCTGCAATCTTCACGTAGGCACAATAATTATAATAATAAACCGTGTTATATTCCTAAACTTATGATGAGTAGTGATCAAACCATATTTAATAGGTTTGATATATTAATGTATATATTGATCTCAACGTAAATTTATTGTGTTAGAATGAAGAATGGATTAATTTATTGAACCCCATACATATACATATATATATACACGTATTATTAAAGGCGTGTACTCATGATCAAGGTGCTACGTGGTTCTTGTATTCTAACCCATTGTCGCCAAAGAAGGCTTTATGCGATGCAACACTGAAAGCACGATTTGTTGACACCATTTTCCGAGCAACATATAGCATGGTAAATAGGATCAATCCTTCTATCATAATCACAATAAACGTGGTTTCGATATTTTATTTCACAATTAAACTAAATTATTTCCATCTTTTTTAGAGTGGAAATTCCAACATCCAACAAATAGAAATTGGAAAAGAGAATTTCGAAAGAGAAAGTTACAAGGTATCTACGTTAATAAATATCCCTTAAAAAAATAGATATTGTATATGTTCATTGTTATATTTGTTTTATAATGTAATTTTTTTAATTTTTTTGGTTAATTGGATTGACTGTTGAAGCACGATCAAAAGCTAAGTCCATACAAGCCCTAAAAAAAACCGGGCAGCAATAAATAATGTACTTGTATAAACGCACAAAATTAAATTAATTATCTATGATGTATCTTAAAAATGCATTTGATTTGCAAATTTTGTTTAACTTTAATTTTAATTTTGAAATGACTTTCATTATCTTGAAATTTTGTACTATCTCCGAAAATTCAACTCGAAGAATAAAGCAATGAGAAACGAAATTTATGTTTAATAATAGATTGTTGTAAAATATTACACCCAAACATTGTATTTGTACGTTAAAATGGATCCAAAATAAAGATACAATAGTGCAAGCTTCCATGAATTCTTAGTAATTTTTATTTGAATACAAAAAAACATAAGTATATGACATTGTATCAAATTATTATTAAATATAAAATATAAGAGTAAAAATCATTTTTTGTCTCACTGTATATCACAATTATCAATTTTGATCGAATTGATTTTTTTTTTATAAATTTTGGTTTCATTCAAATTAAAATTTATCAATTTTAATCTGTTGGTAACAAAGACTAAACACGACCGCATTGGCTTGAACACAACTGTTTTTTTTATGATAGAGAAAGGTGATTGGACAACCAATTCAGCCAACACGACCATGTTTATTACCCTGCACTGAACATGACCGTATTCATGTCTGTGTTGTCAACACACATATTTTGTCCATATTCGCAATTTTTTTCTCAACACAACCATATGTTCACACGACTTGTTTTCAACATGACCATGTTATGGACCAAATTCACAATCCTGTATTAAATATGAGACATTTGTTTTCATTTTCACTTTTTAAATTCAAATTATTTATATGTATTTATATTTTAACGAAAATATTTTTAAAAATTATTTAAAAGTATAAAAAGTAATAGATTTTAATATTCAAAAAATAATTGAAAAAAATTATAAAAATAATAAATTAATATATATTTTTAATAATCATAATTATATAAATTGTATTTTTATATCTTAGGAGCCAAAATATGATTAAATTTCTAAAGGCTAAATTTCGATTTTTTCTTTTTATTTTGTGTCCCATATATCTTTATATATTTGGTATTTGAAATTTAGCTTTTATATTTTATATTATTTTGTAAATTATAAATTAAATATAATTTTTTCTTAAAAATTACATTAATAAATTATTACATAATATAAAGTAAATTAATACATTAATATTATATTATAAAATACTCCCTTCGATTTCACAACTTTATAATATTTTTTATTATAATCAAATCAAACAACTTTTTTTTATTATTGTCCTAAAAACTATCAATATAGCAATATAAAATTTAATTATAGAATAATTCAAATCTATTTCTCTTAAAACCAAAATCTCTAAACTAAAACAACAATAGTTCTATAAACTCAACATTACATCTAAACCAATTTCAAATTAACAACATTCCCACCAAATTTAAATCGAAAGTTTCAAAAGTACCTCCGCACCGACAACAATGTCAACACAACAAATGTTGCAATAAATTAGACATTAGTTCATATTTACTAACAACATCGAAATTCAATCTATTCACTCTTCCAAGCATACAAGAACAAACAAAACCCCGGCAACTCGGCATCCCGGAAACTCCACGACGTCGACGTCGACAACCCCAATTCCCGACAACCTGACAACATCGGGCTCCCGCCGCCCCACCCCGCAACCTTCTCCGATCTAAACATAAAAACAGCGCTCCCGACGCAAGATCCGAACAACCAATTATGCACGTCCCAATAAACCTCGACCGGCATCCCGTCCACCGTCACCGCGCAATTTCCCCGAAACTTCCACCGCAAATGCACCACCCGCATTGCCGTTTTCCGGTCGATCCGGACCACTAGTCCCGGATCTCCGCCACCATCGCCGCCACCACCACCACCGCCGCCGCCGCTGTCGAATTCGATTTCAAGATCATGAATTTTGCCACCATCACAAAATTGAGCCTTAGTGGTAAAAACCCTTTTCCCCAAAATATGTTCCCTTTTCGAAATCAAAGCAGCATTCGAAAAAATCGAATTCGAAAAAGCCCCACTTTTCTTCAACGCTTCTTCCCTCAAATCTCCGACAGCCAAAACCATCTCCTTCTTACACACAACGGCTATGTAATACCCCTCCACGGGCTCCGGGCCCGGCCCGAACTTAGCGGATGAAAGATCCCAATAAACCTCGACTCCGCCATTAATGGCGCCCAGAAGTTGCAGACATTTCGAGCCTTTTCTTTTCGAGAAGAGAGAGGGCTTTACATCGACTTTACATATGCAATTGTAAGAAGAAACATCGTCGATTTCGACACTCACACAATGTCCCATTAAATTTCGACTCCAAATTACTGCGATCAGACAAGATTTGCCGAATAATCGGGACTTGTAGAGACAGGTAACTGAATTCTGAGATGATTTCGAAACAGACGATAGATTCGAACAAGAAGACGAAGCATCTGCAACTTGAACTCCATTTTCCCCAAAACACGACGGGAATTCGAAATCCCTCATTTTTTTTTTTTGTAAGAACAAAAATTAAAAACCCTAATTCTTAATTTTCTGAGGATGTAATGAAAATTAGATCGGTAGAATCGCTAATTCAAGTACGATGAGAGATTTTCGAGCATACCATCGATGGATTGATTGATTGATTCATGGATCGAGGAATCCACTTTCGACACCTCCTCGTCTGCTGCTTATCCTATTTTTTTGGTGGTAATGAAAATTGGTTTTTTTTTTTTTTTTGATTTTTTTTTTCGGGGGAATAAATGTGGAGCGGACGTTGTTATAAAGGTAACCACGAAACAGCTGTTCTTAAGTGAAGCTGAAGATTGAGGGGCAGGGATTGTTTATTTGGGGAGCTCCCAGGATCTTAGGTCCTGATTGGATCTATACCGTTGATAGTGTGGGACTTGTTTAAATGAACGGTGGATATGATTTCGGGAGCTGCCAAATATCACTTTGGGAGGACCCGGATCACTGTAATTATTTTATTTAATTTAAATTTTTTAACTTGTTGAGAAAATGTATAGACAAAACCCCATGGCATTACAGAAGCCTTAAATTTTCACTGTTAATTTAATTTAAAGAGGAGATGGGAATTTTATATTATATATTACAAACTATTAAAATATTTATTTATTTTGAAACCAAAAATAGAAAAGATTCCTCTCCCACATTGATTATTAATTATTGACAACAACAGCATTATAGGTAAGAGGGTGAGGAAATTTTAGTTGTATTTAGATAAGATTTTTTTTTTAAAAAAAAAGTTATTGTGAGTTTTTAAAATAATAATAATAATAAAAATATTTATGATTCCTTCATCTCGAAAGAATAGATGAATTTGCATTGGGTACGAAATCTAAAAAATATTTGTATTACATGAGTAATTGGAAAAAAAATATGTTGAAAAAACCCTTTTTTTTTTTTTTTGCTTTTTTTTGTACGAGTGCATTAATGTAAAAAATGAATGACGTTTGTGCAATAATAATAATAAGTTAAAGATAATTTTATAGTAATATGATAATTTAAAAAAATAAAATTATTACTTTAAATGAATGAAAATAGTAGTTCACTCGTAACAAAATATTTATTTTTTCATTTTAGTCTGCCCATAACAAAGTATTCATTTTATTTTTTTTTTAGTAATTGTACTATCTACCTAATATTACAAATATCCTTACAACTTAAAATATATTACACAAATGTCATTATCTTTTGTATCACACAATACTAATAAAATTATTTTAATCATTTTTACTTTAATTCTATTATATTCCAATATAATATTAATATTTTTAAAACTCTGTGAAAAAAACAAATGGATACATAGTTATAGAACGGATGAGGTGAGTATAATAAAATTATTAAATTAGGACAAATGACATATAATATATTATTATTATTTTTTAGAAAACTTCTATTGATATAATAGATATTAATTATACTCCTCTGGCTCTATTTGCATGAAAAGTAAATATTTATTTATTTTTAATAAAATTTAATAAATATTGTATTTTAATGATAATTTTGATAATTATTATAATTTTGATATGTAAAAGTAAAATTAATGTGAGAGTATTGAGGTAAATAATTATAAATATAATTAAATTATGTAAAATTGTTTCTCCAAGAATTTGTTTGGTTTCTGAATAAATTTAAAATTTTATTTGGTTTTTAATTAAATAGTAAAAAATATATATTTTTTATTAAATCTTAATAATTTGAATTAAATATATTATTCTCTTTGTTATTATTAGTTTTTTTAAAAAAAGATGAACCCGAGGAAAAGGGATGGACTTTGAAGGTTTTTTTTGTGTGCGACGATGTTCCTCAATGATATAAATAAATAATACTCTTTTCGTCTCATGTACCGTGTCTGTTACACTGTAGATAAGGTATTCTAGAAGGGATGTAATTAGTAGATAATTAAGAATGTATTAGTGAAAATAATTAACCGATAATATAAATAATTATAAATTAAGATTAAGATAACTAATTAGTTTAATTAAAATTAAAAAAAATTAAAAAATTTAAAATGAGATTAAAGTGTTTAATTATTTTTCAAAAAAAGAAAGTGAAATAGTATATGAGACGGACAGAAACGGCAACGTGGACATGATATGTGAGACGGAGGGAGTAGTATTTATTTATTCCTTTCTTATTTTAATTTAAAATATATTTTATAAATTTTATTTGTATAAATTAACTATATGTGTAATATATATTTAAAATTTATATAACAATTAAAAAAATATTAAATTGTTAATGTATGTCTTTATTACAATAATAAATAATTTTTTTAATGAATAAATAAAATAATAATAATACATATACATTTCGTATAAAGGACATAAAAAAAACACTTTAGTAAAATTGAAATTCCAGAGTTGAAATAAATCTGTTTTTTCTGGTGGTGAGGTCAAAAGGTATTTTCATACGAGACAAAAGAGCTGCCTGTTTTTGAAGGCTCCCTGGACCCCGACTCCTTCAATGCGTGAGGCCTGTTCTGGAGTTGGGATCCAAGGCGTTGCTAAAACTAGGCAGAGACAAGGCGTGCCTGGACGGATGATGTATTATCTCCTGGACTATTACTCCCAACCAACTCATACATACGACTATTTTGAGAGCTCCCAGGAGCAGAGAAACAGACGAATGATTGATGTAGCTAATAACCCTCCACGTGATCGGGTTCTCCGGTCCCTGGTTCTCTTAACGAGCTGGCAGGAAATCAACATCACCGCACAAATATAAATACAGATATACGGTTTTCTGTTTATGTACATTTTTTTATTAATCATATTTGATTTTTAAATAAAATGTTATTCATAAATGGAGTTTTTTTTTTTTCTTATTAAATACTTTTTTTATCTCTGGTATTCTTTACGCACAATAATTTAGTAGAAGTATAATTAATAAATAATTAAAAATATATTAATAAAAATAATTATTTTTAAAAAAATTAGATTAAAATTAAAATAATTAATTATTTTAATTAAAATTTAAAAAATTTTAAATTTTAAATTTTAAAATAAAATTAAAATAATAGTGTTATTTATAACAGTGTTATTTATCATTTTTATCCGTCTCAAAATAATAGTCTTATATTCATAAATAATCATATCACCATAAATTACTCATACTTTTTAATTTTTATTATACAATTGCCACTACTTTTTACACTAATACACTTGTAAGAACAAAAAAGTCTTTTACTTATACTTTGTATCCACTATCAATATAATATCAATATTTTTTAAATTTCGAGTTCAATCCAATTAAAACTATATTTATAGGACGGATGGAATATTAATTTTATTTATTATTTTAAAGAAAGTTTTAAAAACTTCAATACACCAAAAATATTTGTCTATAAATAGAATTATATATTGATTTGTGGCCAACCAAAAAAAGTCTGTAATGAAAGCTGTTGAGCGGTGAAAGCAAACACCTTTACTTTACAGCTCTCTAAATTATTATTATTATTATTGAAAAATATTACAGCTATTTTTTTTTTCATTTATTTTAATAATATTTTTACTCATACTATAAGTTTTGTGATACAAATTATTTATGGATATATTGATACTTTTTTTTGGTCTGTACGACAAGTATTTATTTACTTTTAACGAATAATTTAATAAATATTATATTTTAATAATAATTAGAAGTACTTTAATGTATAAGGATTATTTTGGTTTGTGCTTCAATTTGATATAATTGTATTGATTTAAATAAATTATAAATACTTTTATCATAAAATTATTTTATTATAAAATATATGTGACACATGAAAATACAAGAAACACGCCGCATGATTATGCTTAACATACACATGCATGCGTATTATTATTATTATTATTATTATTATTGTTATTATTTATCATTATTATTTTATGTAGTGAAACTTTAGGATGTGTTTTGTTTTGGGTCGGCCTTACACTATATCATTTTTATTTTATTTTTCTAAAACTTTGTTTATTTTGGGGTTTTTGAGAATTTTTAGTATTCTTTAATGTTTTTCTAAAAAATTTTAAACCAACCACATAATGTTTATTTATTTATTTATTTAAAATATCAAATTAAATAAATATTTATTCCCAACTCATGGTGCATTTGGTTCGAAGTTGCAGATTGTAGTTGAAACTTTAATTTTTTTGCTAACTAATGTTATGTTATATACTTATATGATTGTAAATTGAGTTATATATAATGTAATACTCTCTCCGTTCCGGTTCAAGGTTGTTATTTACTTTTTGCACGTAGATTTTTGAATATGAGTATTATAATGAGTTGTAGTGAAAAAGACAAAAATATCCCTATTAGTATTGTGTAATATAAAAATAATGATATTTGTGTAATATAGTGTAAGTTTGAAGGGTATTTATTATGTTAGGTAGGTGTACAATTACTAAATTAGGAAATGGTAACCTTGTTTTGAGACGGACGAAAATGAAAAATGACAATCTTTCAATGGGACAGAGGGATTATATATTTTATTAAAAATAAATTTATAATGTTTAAGAGTAACATTTCAATAAATTATATTCAAATATAGATATTATTTTATAAAAAATTAATTTTTTACAAATACAAATAAAAAAAAACATATACTTATATATAATTAATATAAATTTATTTATAAATGATATGAAGTTTAAAAATATATAAATATATTTATTTATGTAGGAGCGATAAAAATATTATATAATTGTGTCACCTTAACAAAATTTTAAAAAATAATTTAGATGAAAAATATATTGAAAGTATAGTATATTTAGGGTGTTTTTGTTCAAGGGATTTTGCTAAAAATGTACTATTCATCCAAAAAAATTTTCCCAAAAAATATCACATCAAACATTTAATTTTTATTTTCTATATTATTGTAAAAATCAATTTTACATTCAAAACATCGTATCAAAACCTATTTATATCACATCATACAACTATTACAATTCAAAAATTTTACTATTCAAATTTTAACTCAAAATCCAAATCGCCAAACAAACACACCCTTAGTTAGTAATTTTTTTTAGTTTTCATTTAAACAATATCTTAAATTTACTAATTTTTTTTAAAAAACAATTATAAATTTTCATTTAAAATTATATAAATTGAAAGTAAAATTGCTCATAACTCCCTGTTATTTTAAAATTCTCTATATTTTAAAAATTGTATGGTTCTCAATTATACTTTTAAAAACGTTGCATGAAATCTCCCGGTCATGAAATTTCTTTTGTGTGATGAGAATATAATTTTCTA